TCCGATTCGTCTAACCCTCTTAAACACTAAATAAAAATAATATTTTGATTTGATTGCTTACTTGAGGTTTTGGGTATGGCACAAGAACCTCCCATGGGCGGCGTTATTAGCTGTCCTGGGAAATTCATGCAATAAAGAAGGATTGGAAGGGAGTGGAAGCTTTCTCTTCCGAATGGCCGCCACAACAACCTGCAACAACGGCGTCAAGGGGCTTCCAGATGGCTTTCGGTACCGATAAAACGGGCGGCCGGCGACAAAAATCACGACAGAAACCACCAGCACCGCCGTTAGAATGACATCTGCAGTTCCCCACCCGAAGTGATCCTGGATATAAACAATGATGGTAACGCCAAACAAGAGGCCAGAACAGAGCCCGAAATTCCACCAATTGAAATAAGACATTTTTTTCTTCCGTTCTTCCGAATGATCGTCATCGAATTGGTCGGCTCCGAAGCTCTCGAGAGATGGCTTGTGCCCACCAGTTCCTATGGAGATCATGTAAATTGCGAGGAAGAAGATGATCTCATGGCTCTTCCGTGCCTCCGGGCACACCTGATCATCGCCTCCACAGGGTTTGAAACTTGGAACGAACGCCGACATGGTTAACAGAGTCAACCCCTGTTTCAACAATCACTCACATCTTAAAATTGGGTAATAATAATAATAATAATCAAATGGGGTATTGAAAATGAAACCGACCAAAACGTAGATAACGGAAGAGAGGAGAACGGTGGCGTAGCGGCCGAAGTAAGCGTCGGCGAGAAAGCCGCCGAGCAGAGGCATCAAAGTGGTGACACCGGCCCAGTAATTGACGCTTCTCGCCGCCGTCTTCAGCTCTTGATGAAGCACCTTGGTTAGGTATATAATCAAACTCGAAGCGATCCCAAAATAGCTCAGCCTCTCACCGAACTCGATGGCTGCAATCCCAAATTTCAATTTTGTTAATAATTAATCAAAAATTGATCCACCGGTGAAGAACAGAGGAAGAAGTAGTGCGTTATACCGATGATGAACAGAGAGGCTTTCCAAGCGCCGGTGGAAGCTCGGAGAGGCAGCCTCCCTTTGTAATCAAGAGAAGAATCAGCAACCCATTTGTCATCGCCGCCATTAGCTTCACACTCCAAGCTTTTCGACATCTCACACATTTGGTTGTCAGTTCTCCCAATAAGTTGGATGTGGACAACAACCGCCCAGTATCTTGGACTCTACTTGCTCCACTTTCCACTCCTTATATAAGCCCCAACATTTTTTAAATTACAAATTTACCCCTTATTTTTTCTAAAAATTACGAATCTATTAAAAACAAAATTAAAATTAAAAGGTACCTAAATTGTATAAGTTAATTAATTTACCCCTTATTTTTTAATTTTGTGTTGAATTTGTTTTTTTTTTAGATAAAAATTAAAATATAATATTGAAGTCAAACATATCAGCCATTAAGAAACTTTAAAAAATTTAAAAAAATGAAGCATTTTCACCCACTGAAAATATTTAATAAATTAAAAGCTGTCTCCCATGTAATTGGCCCTTAATTTTGCCCTAATCATTCACTCGTTTAATAACTTTTTTTTAATTAATCACATTTTTAATAGAATATGAATAAATAAAAAATTATTTCACCCACCATCGTCTATTAATTACTTTATTAATTATGAAATCTAGAAGGACAAAGAAGGAATCCCTGTTCTTGTGTTTAATGAGATGGGATAATCATGGACATTAAATTTGTTGATTAATTTTTTTTAAAAATTATTTTTGCCTCTAATAATATGATGGATGATGCAATTAACCAATATCATCCTTAATGATGCTTCAACTTTAGAACAAAAAGTAAATTAACCAAAATTGGCTGGATCGGTGATGCTCGTTTAGCAACTTAATTGGCTGGATTCGAGTGTAATCATATTTTTTAGTATTAGAGGTTGACTCAACAAAAAAAAATTATAACCCGTGAATTGAAGGGAATTATTGGTTTTTTAAAAATTCAACCCAACCTAAATTGTGTAACCCAATCAAAATGTAGTTTAGATAATTCGAGTTATCGAGTCATATGAACTCTCCTGTCATTTTTTTTTTTTGGAGTGATTAAGTGGGTAAGGTTGAAGAGATTAGGTGGGTTTACTTTTGATTGTGGTCATACCACTCTCTTTAAAGATGATATCAATTTGTTTTAGAAGATCTTTAAATGTCCTGTCTCACCCACCTAATGGCTTAGCCATATGATCAAATTCAATAGTGTGTGAGGTTTTATTGCGGCCTCTAGTGGAGCATTATATGTTGACTTCCAAGTGAATGATAATGATAGATACAATGTCAAATCTATATGTATAATTAAAACAAGCCCAAATTGAATTTCTTTAAATTCAATCATCATTCAATCTCAGCCTTACACAACTTAATTCTAAAACCTATTTTGTATTTGGATAATTCTAAAACCTATTTTGTATTTGGATAATAATCATCTTCTTCAGATCGCTTGTGATTGAGATCCCATATCGGCTACAGATAGGAACAAAACATTCTTTATAGCGGTGTGGAAACCTCTCTCTAACAAACGCGTTTTAAAACATTCTTTACAAGGGTGTAGAAACCTCTCCCTAACGACAATATGTAACAAGTCAAAACAGACAATATTTATTAGCGGTAGACTTGGGCTGTTACAAATAGCATCATAGCCAAACACCGAATGGGGTGTCAACAAGACTTTTGGTCATTAAGGGGGTGAATTGTGAGATCCCACATCGATTGGAGAGAAGAACGAAACATTTGGCCAATAAGGGGGTGAATTGTGAGATCCCACGTCGGTTGGAGAGGAGAATGAAACATTTCTTATGAGGGTGTGAAAACATCTCCCTAATATACACGTTTTAAAACCGTGAGGCTAACGGCAATACGTAATGGGCTAAAAAAGACAATATTTGTTAGTGGTAGGATTGGACGGTTATACGTACTTAATGGTTCATAGATCAACTCAAAAGAGATTTTGACTAATGTATCTAAATTTTAAACATTATAAACGTTAGATTCGTGGAGACAGAATGAAGATGATAAGCGGAATATACTTCACATTTGCAATAGAGTTGAGACTCTAATGATGACGAAGAACCCTTAAAATTTGTGGTAGCATGTTAGCGATACCACTAATGCTCTCAAGCCAAGATCAGATGCACCCAAAATGAAGAACTATTGTTTCTTGTCTAAAAAAATGAGATCAAAAGAGAAGGGAGAAAGATGAAGAACAGCAAAACTCTACTTCAGAGAGATGAAAATTTGTCATTTTGTTGGAAAAAGGAACAATCAAAGGCAACAAGCAGCAACAGCAGCTGCAGCAGCTGCTTTGGTTTTGGGTTTGGCAATGCGTGTGAGATTCATGGAGGTCAAATCCATCATTCTCACTCAGATTCTCCCTGCACTTAAAATTTTATTTTATTTTCCATTCATTCCTAAATTTAAATTGCTTTCTAAAACTTTCCCACTTTTTGTTTTCAGGAATATATTCCAAATCTTGAGTCAAAGAGTTAGGATACAACGTTATCTCCAAACCCACCACTTCTTTTTCCTTCTTTTCATGCCTTCTTTAGACCTTTAGAATAGCTACGAGTCATCTATGTTTGTCTCACGATACCGTTATCTTAAGTTGTTCAAGCTTGAGGTTGCTTCCCTCATGTTTGATAGCGATGAGACATTTATAGTTACCCACGTATGCAACTTAGTTGATGTTGAAGAGTACTAACTAATTGCATACCTAAGCTGACTTTATGTTTCGTGATAAATATGATTGCACACGAGTTTGTACTAAGTAACAAAAGCGTACAACTTTATTTATTTGACCCTACAAGTTGAGTTCAATGGTACCTAAGTTCGTATGGTATATGACGAAGGCTATGGATAAGAGATAGACTTGAATGATAAGGTAGGTTCTAGCCGCTGCCGACATCCAACTTTATAAATAATTAATATATAACTTGATCCTAACTTTTGAATACTATATTATTTTAAGCTGAAATTAAATGTTTTCCACTAGTTATACAGCTTTTTCCATTAAGGCTGAGTTCTTTTCATCGTGTTTTAATAGCGACTCCCAAATATTATGGTAAAAATGCACGTAATAACGATTCTGTTTTTCTCATAACATGTAAAAATTTCGGGCAATTTCTTACGGTAATGAGTAGTTTTGGGGTGTATAATTTGGTAGCTACGCACAAATAATATTCACTTTCTAACGACAAAATCCAACAAGATAAAAAGGAAAAAGAAAAAAGAGAGAGAATCCATAACCTTGAGACACCTAATTGGTATTCCTTTTACATCTAAATGAAAAATATTAAACCAAAACAAACAACAAATTAGCATAAACGTATGGCTCATAATTAACCCCAAAAAGGCATTCTTTGGATTAACACCACAAAAAACGACAGGACAATATATTGGTAGCTGACTCGGAATCATCTTTAGAGCTAAAGAACGTGTAGTGTTCATAGTTTGGCCATATCATATCAACTAATACAAGGGGTAGTGGCTTGTGGCTTGTGTTGTCCCCTCAATCATCAGTAAGATTGGAACTCTTCCTCCTAAGTGGAGGGGACGATCCTATCCTAAACACATAATAGTTTATTATGTCAACCATCCAAGCCTACTGCAACTACATATTGTTCGTTTTAGCCCGTTATGTATCGCCGTCAGCCTCACGATTTTAAAATGCGTCTGTTAGAGAGAGGTTTTCACACCCTTGTAAGGAATGTTTTGTTCCCCTCCCCAACCAACGTGGGATCTCATAATCTACCCCCCTCTCCAACCAAGGGAGTGGACACCGAGCAGTGTACCAACGAGAACGTTGGGCCCCCAAAGGGGGTGGATTATGAGATTCTACATCGATTGGAGAGAGGCTCGAGTGCCAGCAAGGACGCTGAGGGAGTAGATTGTGAGATCCCACGTTAGTTGGAAAGGGGAACAAAGCATTCTTTATAAGGGTGTGGATACCTCTCCCTAACAAACGCGTTTTAAAAACCTTGAGGGGAAGCCTAAAAAGGATAATATCGGCTAGCGGTGGGTTTAGACTGTCACAATACCAAAGTTTCAACTTAGAAGAACATACCTGCCTGGCCCACAAAAGAGAAAAACTTTTGGGTCTGAATCATTCTGATAGTTGAAGACGACCCTTCAAAAGAAATTTACCTTATCCAAGTAGGAGAAAGAGATGGTGATCCCAAGTAATCCAAACCAAGATTGGTCAGTCAATGCCATAATAATGACTTACTGTGATTGGGGTCTCTGTGGAACGTGCGTTGGTCTTTGATTGCTGGTGCTTTAAGCACGAATGAAAGATAAGGAATCTGTATTCTGGTTCTGAACCTTCTGGAGGCCGATGCTGTAAAGAAACAGAGTAATCCATTAAATAGAAGTGATTACAATGGTAGCTGGACAATCTATATTTGTCAAATAAAAGGGAGTTTACTGCTTCAGATTAGTGCCTTATCTTCGAGACAGATCATAAAACTCGACAATAAACCAGTTCTTACCAATTCTCAATGCCTAGAAAGCCATGAGAGCTTTTGAAATCTAAAAACACTTTCGAGCTGTTTATGCAAGAGATCCATGAGATAGCAGGATGAATATATCTTATTCTTTATCCAAGAGATCCATGGATTCTTCCTACTCAAGCAAGAAGGTTGAAATAGCCGCCCACCTATGCAGAAGTCAACTTCTTACCAAGAGCCAATGACAAAAACTATTTTGCAACATGCAAATTTCTTATCTAACAATACCACTAGTGGCATTTTGTGACAGAACCCAAAATCCACTGAGATAAACTTGAGTGGCTTAAAGAAGAGATGCACAAAAACCCACAATGCAAATACACTTTATGTAAAAGATGTGGAAACCGGAAGATTGAAGGGATGTGGAAACCAGAAGATGGAAGGGATTTTGATGGTTATTGGTTAATATTAAAGGCACTATGGATTCATCTTATTGGACCAATTGAACATATTTCTTAGGCTAAGAAGACAAATGAACCATCAACAAATGTACAGCGATTTTGTCCAGTCAAGACATTCCATCCCTGTGGAAAATGATATCTCCAATTTATCAGGCTAAGCATGCTAGAGTTCCTATACGTCTATTTGACATAGAGTGCATGAGATATGTGCGCCATTAATATTATCAATACAAGTCAATCAATAGATGCGAGGCCATTAAATGACTAAAGGTATAAAGAGATTGCTAGCTACCAAATGTGACTTCGCCACCAATCCATTACTTAGCACTCAATTACAAAGATTGACAATAAGAAATTCGGGCTCTTAATTTTAAGATATCAACCACAAGGTCAGAACCAAGTAATCTGATATACTTGTGAGTATATCATTGACTTGTGAAATAAAGGAGCAAGAACTCCAACAGCTATTGGTAAATTACAAGAAAGCTCTCCAATTGGAGACTAAAAGAGATAAACTATAATGATTAAAAAGGATGCCTATTTTCGCAACAAAACAAAGCAGTAGAAAGAACAGAGTCCATGAAACGATCAAAAGAAGAGGAGATATCACTGAAAATATGACTGTTCCTTTCACCGCCACAAAATCTTCTTTGGACACAGTGAAGGGGCGACCCACCAAAACAGATGGAGATCAAAACTGTTGTTAGGGAGCGTCAGAGACCAACCAAAAGCTTCCAAGATAATTAAACCAATAACAGGAAGCAAAAGGGAAATGCACAAGAAGGTGTCCAGGACATGATGCTCCAAGAAGGGGAAACATTAAAAAATAGATTGATTTGGAATAAGTAGATAGCCAGAAGCCCTGTTTTCATCCAAAGTATGACAGCATTCAATCCATTTCGGAGTCCACAATATGAATCCCCTGGAGGATAGACCTAGGGTCAGCTATGGGATCGCAGATAAGAAAATGAAGCTCATTTGGGTTTCATGGTTGACTTGAATTGTATAATACTCCTTAATGCTCAAATGGTATTGTTTCTTCTTCTTCTTTCCTCCATTTGCAAATGATAAGAAATGTAGAGTTTCAAGTCCAATAATGAAATATACGAAAACCTAAGGAATTATAAGACGCGTTCCCATTGATAGTGATCATAGACGAAGAAGAATACATATTGGTGGGTGTCCCAAATATCTCCCACCCACATGCTTAGTTCCTTCAGAAAAATTCTTCAAGTTATTGCTGGGGAATATAAGAGAGCATTTGTACAGATTCTATGACATACACAATTGGATTTCAACAGACGCCCAAACTTACCCCAAATCCTGAAAATCTATACATGAATTCTTCTCTTCTTCTCCAGCCACTACAACTAAAGGTCGCTCACATAACATTAAACCAAAGGATCTCAGCTTTTTCTCCTAAAGGTTGGGGCCATAAACTCATAAAGGGTGCAAGACATAATCTGCATACACCAATTTAGTTGAAGTAGCATGTCTGGATATCGGCCTTGAATTTTTTCATAGTATTAACTGTTAAGGCCTGAAAGATAAAATTGAAAGAAACATTTAATAAAAAAAATATACCTTTTTGGTCCGTAAATTTTGAGTACAGTTTTTATTTTTACCCCTAGATCCATAAGGATCAGTCATTCTAAATCTTCATCATCAGATTTGTTCTTAGATCCAGTAATCAATCATTGTTTTAAGCATTCCAACACTGAGGTATTCAATAGCCTGGGAAACTTTGAGCAAGAATATTATCTGAGATCCATAGATCAGGCCAAACCCACTCTTTTACCAATCCCAATAATAACAGTTGTATTATTCTTCATGAAGTCCTTGAGACTTCAAAGTTGAATTCAATAGAAAATAAAAAAGGAAAAGAAAATACAATTAAGTGGCGGACTTGATCATTTGAGACATCATTATTTACTGGTAAAGAAGATGAATTCTATGAAGAAGAAAATAACCACTTAGAGATGTGAGCAACCAATGCACCTCAAGAAAAACTGCTAAAGAGAATCAAATTTTGACTGGCGGCTCCAAGTCGGAAATGCCTTCTTCCTTATTAGACAGTGTTGATGTACTTTGAGAAAGGCTGTCCACGCCATGCTGCTAATTTCCAAAATGCCATGAAAAGAGCAACCCACAAATATGCAAATACATGGGCACTGCCCGGGCATGAGTAAACACTAAACAGCATTTGATGAGCATTTGGATGGTTGGAGCTCCAACACAAGCTAAAGATAGGAGCATTTGATGAGCATTTGTTTAAACAAAGTTTAGATGACTGTGATAAAGGCTTTTAGACAAATTTTGGGAGCATAAAAAATTCTGAATTCAATAAAATAACTTCGGGTTTGCCTTATCAGTAAGATGGTTCGATCAATCAGGTACAGGTCTAATAGAAAACCATTGAAACTGTTGCGACAATTTTACATGGTGAATTTCTCATTTACTGTTTCTATAAGTTTTTGGATTCTCTTGTTAAGCTTGATTGCCACAAAAAGTTGAATGTCATGTCCGTTCATGGTTGAAGCATTCTGCAGTTATAAAATCTCTCCTACTTTTTTTATGCTTTTATGAAAGGAGAATCTAACTAAACTAACATCAGCCTACCAAGCTCGTAGCGCTACACTATTCTCTTTGGGCTTTTCCTTTCAGGCTTGCTCTCAAGGTTTTTAAAATGCATTTGCTAGGGAGAGATTTGTTCTCTTTGGGCTTTTCCTTATAGGCTTCCTCTTAAGGTTTTTAAAATGCATCTGCTAGGGAGAGGTTCCTACGTGTTTAAAATATCATCACTAGCCCAATAGAGTTAAGCCCAACCATTGTATGAGTGACTATATTTATCATCCCAAGAAATCCCAAGCAATACAAAGTAGTTTCTACAGAGTTTTTGTAAATCTCTTCTCGATTGGTCTTAATAAAGTGTGCTTCTCGATTCGTCTTAATAAAGTGTACGAGTATTTCCCACAGAGAGTTGTGTTCAACACTACGCACTTGTAAAGAATGTTTCATTCTCCTCCCCAATCGATATGGGATCTCACAATCCACCCCCGAACGATTGGTCTTAATAAAGTGTGCGAGTGTTTCACATAGTGAGTTGTGTTCAACACTACTCACTTATAAAGAATGTTTCATTCTCCTCCCCAATCGACGTAGGATCTCACAATCCACCCCCCTTCGGGGCCCAGCGTCCTTACTGGCACTCGTTCTCTTCTCTAATTGATGTAGGACCCCCTAATCCACCCCCCTTCGGGGCCCAACGTCCTTGCTGGCACACTACCTCGTGTCCACCCTCCTTCAAGACTCAGCATCCTTGCTGGCGCACCGCCTCGTGTCCACCCTCCTTCGGTGCTCAGCTTCCTAGATGGCACACCGCCTTGTGTCCACCCCCTTCGGGTTTCAGCTTCCTCACTGGCACATCGCCCAGTGACTAGTTCTAATACCATTTGTAACGCCCCAAACCCACCGCTAGCAGATATTGTCTCTTTTGGCTTTCCCTTTCGTGCTTCCCCTCAAAGTTTTTAAAACGTGTATGCTAGGGTGCTAGGGAGAGGTTTCTGCACTCTTATAAAGAATGTTTCAGCTAGAGAGAGGATTCTACACTCTTATAAAGACGGTTATATTCTCCTCCTCAACCAATATGGAATCTCACACTTAAAGTAACGAAATTGTAGAGTAAATAGATAGAACTAAAAGAGTTACTAAGCTAGTGCATTATACAAGACATTTAAAGGGGATATGAAAATAAAGTATTTCTCAGTCATCTCAAAAACTACACATGTAAACAGGATATGCTCAAGAATGTATAACATACGTACTTTGAAAAGTAGCATCTACCTCAGCTAACCAGCCTATGAGACAATGATCAGCCAAAAAAACTCATCATGGTGGCCTTTCCAGTTCACTGCAGCAATTCTACTACAGAGTCAAATTGGAACTTTCCTCTTCAGCCAAAATGATAGCCACACTGAAATGACTCCTAGGAACTGTCTCCTACGGCCTCTCCAGCTCGGAGACAGCCGTCTTAAACTCAGCCCGCTTACGCATCTCATATATCTGGCGTTCGCGGCACAGCCAAGCCTTAAGCAGCTGCTTATCTTTCTTGGATCTACGCCCATTCGAATTAGGGTTGTAGCCTAAGAAGCGATCGGAATTCGATTGGGAAAGTAAGAGAGGTGGTTTGAACCAGCCAGAGACAGAGAGAGAGAATAAGGGCGGACGAAGAGGGCTCGGAATTGCAAGAGGAATTGGGAGAATCGACATTTATTTGCGGGAACTTTGGAGCTGAAGAAACGAAGTGGCAATAATGGTTTTCACAGTTGCAGTGATGAAGAAACGGTGGAGGAAGAGTCGCCGTTGAGATATTCACAGTTGCAGCGATGGCGGCACCGGGTGGCGGGTAGGATTTTATGGGCCCTATGGACGTCTTCGATACCATTGTACTGTAATGCAAATGTGCCATTTGTGCTCATGTTTTCAATAAGCTCGACATGATCAATCTTGTGTGAAGTGATTGGAATCTCAAATAAGTGTTCTTTCGTTGAGATATTTAATCAACGATCTTGTAGAGTGATTGGAATCTCAAAAATATTCTATCAACAACTTAATCCTAATCTTACTCCAGTTATAGATCGTATCATTATAATATTTTTAAAAAATAGTTTTTATTTAAGAATAAATTATAGATATTATTAATAGTTTACAAATATTTTTTTAGATTTTTTTTTATCAATTAATCTTTAAACAAAATAAAAATAATAATAAACTATGGCACACAGGTCAATAAATCAAGGTTTCGCGGCAAAAAAAATTAAATATGATATTTTTTGCAATAAAATAAAATGAAAAAAATTTGGTTACGGAAACAATTTCTAATATGAATATAAAATTTTATAAGATCGGGGTTGTCTCCTTTCTTAGATCGTTGAAAATCTGCACTATAGTACAGCTCATAATATCAATCCATTAATTCTGGAATAATTTTTTTTTGTCAAAATTTGAAGAATAAAATATTCATATATTAATTATTTAAAAAAAATACAAAAGGAAAACATGTTGGTTCCATTATAATGGACAATGAATGAGCAATGTGGTTTGTTTATTATAGAATAATGAATATTTTTTTGGTTAAATAATTATGAACATTATTATAAATATAAAACTTATACATAAATGATATTATGTTCCCTCAATTGCAATCTTAATTCTATATCTTATATTTTCAACGTCACACCACACGTGTATACCCCCAATTTTTCCTGCTTTTCCCCAAACAGTGCCCATTAATTTTATTAATTAAAAATCGACCCCTGCTTCTCCGACGAACTTTCCTTTCCGCCCACCGCCCACTCCAATGTCGGATCCAGAAGCCCTATTTATTTCCGATCTCCCAAACTCTGTAAATCGCACCTCCAAAATTATGGCTCCATTTCTATTCCTTCTCTTCATCTTCGCCAATGCTCTTCTCGGTTCTGTCGCTGTCGGGGCCGCTCCACCACCGACCGCGGCCGAACCACCTTCCGGCCGAAAGCTCGGAAAGCACCACAGTACGGCGGTTGTTTTTTCGAGTCCGTCTGAAGCACCGCGAAGTGAAAAGAAAGTCTCGACGGCGAACGACGGTGGTACGGGGAATGAGATTGAATTGGAAAATCATGAGCATCATAAGTCGATAGATAAGTCTGTCGCCGGCGGTGGCGTGATATTGGGCGGACTCGCCACCACGTTTTTGGTGGCGATTGTATGTTACATTAGAGCTACGAGGCGACAGAGTGAAGTTAGCCTCTGAGACGACATGTCGTACGAGTTGTTTGTTGGTAATTGCATTTTTTGTTTTTTTTTTCTAAAGGAGGTTGCAATTGTAATTAATCATAAAAATATAAAAGTGAAAGGATTAAATATAATGTATTGTTCTCTTTATTTTGGTGGAATTTGATTGGTGAATTGCACCAAATAAAACAATATTGGAAATTGCTATTTAAGCGTTTACTTGTGTGTGTTAGACAAACACGACTCTCCACAATTGTATGATATTGTCCACCTTGAGTAGTCCAAAAGACCTCATACCAATGGAGAGAGTATTTTTTGTTTGTAGATGTGGGACTTTCATCATTCAACAGCTCCCTTTGAACAAAGCACACCTCCCCTTAATTGAGACTCGAATTCTTTGGAGTTTTAGTCATTTTTTATTGTCTTTGTACCTTCAAGGAGGCTTGACTTCTTTTTCTTTTTGGAGTTCTTTGTTCGACGTTTGAGGATTTACCAATGCCTTCATACCTTCGAGGAGGCTTGACTCCTTTTTCTTTTTGGAGTGCTTTGTTCGACATTTGAGGATTTACCAATCTATTGACACGACAAAGTTTAGGGCATGACTCTGATACCATGTTAGACGAACACGACTCTCCACAATAGTATGATAGTGTCCACTTTGAGCATAAGCTCTCATAGCTTTGCTTTGGGATTCTCTAAGAGGTATCCTACCAATGGAGAGAATATTATTTGTTTATAAACCCATGATGGGACTTTTATCATCCAACAGTTTGAACTAAAAACAAACAAATTATTTCGTTAATTTAAATTAAAGTATTATCGGTTAAATCCTAATTTAGTCTTCAAAATTCAATTTAATGTCTAATTATACGTTTAATTTTCAATTTTGGACCCTAAAAATTTTGTAAATCTTTTTAAAAATATCATTTGAAGACCAATTAAAATTTACACTTTTAAAAATTTTAAGACTTTATTTATTCTTTTATTTTTTGTTCCATTGTAATTTTTATTTTTAAGATATAATAATTTTGATTTCTAAATTGTCAGAAAATTTTATTTTAACTCTAAATGTTAAAAAATTTCATTTTTATTTTTGCTATATTATTTTGGGGAGTTTACATTTCGTTTATTGTATTGTTTTATTTTCTTCAATAATTTTAATGACATGTTTCCCAAGTTATTTTAAAATATTTATTTTCTTTCACTTCAAAGTCCCTCTAAACACATACAATTAAACTTTCAAAATAAATTTTGATTAAAAAGTAAAACAAAACAATATTTTTATTTTAAATTATTAAATATATGTTTATAGTAAATTTTTAACATTAAAAAAATGTTAGTTTAAAAATTTCAAAATTACTTTTATATCTGTTTATTATATACTAATCAGCCAAAGGTCAAACAACGGGGATGTAGCTCAGATGGTAGAGCGCTCGCTTAGCATGCGAGAGGTACGGGGATCGATACCCCGCATCTCCAATTTTCTTAAAATTTTAATTTTTTACTATTAAAGAATAATTTTATGTCCAATTGTTTTATAACATGTGGGCGTGCCGGAGTGGTTATCGGGCATGACTAGAAATCATGTGGGCTCTGCCCGCGCAGGTTCGAATCCTGCCGCTCACGGTTTTTCATTTTTATTTTGTTTTTTTTTTTATATTATTATTCCTCGTTCTTTTATTTTGTTTTCTCTCTCTCTCTCTTTTAAATTTAATTTAATTTTATTATTCCTTGTTCTTTTATTTTATTTTCCTTTTTTTATTTATTATTCCTCGTTCTTTTATTTTTAAATTTTTTTTATATTATTCCTCCTTTTATATTCCATGTGTTTTTAAATACATGATTTGAAATAAGCATAAACTAAAAAAACAAAGTTTTTCTTAATTTTAATTACCATTTTGTTTGGTTCAGTTTTTGAGTTGTTATATAAAGTTTTACTGGGTACATATCGGAAGAATTTGATGATAATCCTTATAGAAATTAAATGTATTTTCTCATTTATGGATTAATTTGGTTCTAAAAATCATTTTAGTTTCAATTGCTTTTCTTATGTGCATTTTTAGTTTATTCCTCAAATCTTATTGATGAACAATTTAACCTCTAATTAATGCTTAATACATTAAATTGCAGTGCACATGTTAATTAGCTATTTAAAACTTAAATTACTTTAGTCTTTCATTAACTTTCACTTTACAATTTTAGTCCCCAAATTTAAGGGGATGTTGCTCAAATGGTAGAGCGATCGCTTGACATGCGAGAGGCATGGGGATTGATACCTCGATTTCTATTTTTTTAACCTGACTAAAGACTAGAAAAAAAAAATCATGAATGAATTATTACAAATTTTGGTCTACAAATTCAAGGGGATGTAGCTTAAATGGTATAGTGCTCGCTTAGCATGCAAGAGGCGGGGATCGATACTCTGCATTAGTAAGTTTTTGGACCTAATTAATTAGACCAAAGACTAGAAAAAAGAAAAAAAATCATAAATGAATTATTACAAACTTTAGTCTATAAATTTAAGGGGATGTAGCTTAGATGATAGAGCGCTCACTTAGCATGCGATTGACATAGGAATTGAGACCGTGCATCTCCATTAACTAAATAGATCATAAATTGTTATAAAATTTTAAATTAATCTCAAAATATTTAATTTGGTATCTTTGAAAATTGTGATGATATATTAAATAAAAATATTATTTTCATTAATATTTCAATTTAATTTAATAATTCAATAATCTAAAGATTTATTAAATATAAATTGGATAAAAATGAAACTATGAGCATAGACCATTTAAAATTTACTTAAAATTAACAAGTCATTAAAAAGTTTTCTTGCTACGAAAGTCATTCATTAGTAGACGCCCCTTGCATATAGAGAGCCACCAAAACTTGCTCTCTCTCTCTGGTTCTGGTTCTGGTTCTGGTTCTGGTTCGTCGGAAATGAATTGGAGAAGTACAAAGAATCTACAAAGCAATACAAAAATGGTGAATGAACAATCGGTTATGGCCGTCATCAGGGCAACTAGGCCTACCTTTCGCAATGACAACGACAAGGTCGCCTTTGCGGTTCACGCCATATTTCTCGCCTCCGGCTGCGTGCTCACTGCCACCGGACCTCCTGCTTTTACTGATGCCGCCTTTTCTTCTCCCTCAAAGGGTATCACTTCTTTGTTTATTGAAAAATTAAAAATTCTTCCCATATTTAGTATTTCTGAGTCTTGGATTGGGGTTTAGATGAAATTAGTATCGAGGGCTGGAACGAATTAGAGGATGAGTACGCATACGTTTACGCAAACTTTGAAAAGGATGCTAACTGGAAGAAAGTGATAGTGAAGTGCCTGGTGATGAACGGGAAATTGCTTATTGATGCCTTGACTGATGAGAATTCCGAGCCGCTCCATCTTGAAATTGAGTACGCTCTCCCAGATATCAGATATATATGTGTATTGGCAAATTAGTACTTTGTCCTGTTTCAGTATTGAGTGTTATTTCATTCCTATTGTTCTTTTAGCGTTGAAGACATCGTCAATCCGAATGGGGGAAGTAACTATTCAACGCAGTACAGAAATTTGGATACCCTGGTGAAACGCTTGGGCTCGGGAATATTGTCAAAATTGGGGGGTTCTTCGAAAGCCACGACAAGTAATCCAGCAAGGTAGTGATTAGATCAGTAATCAACACGTACGGTTATTTTAATTCTTC